TTGACTTGCACTTGATTAGCCCTCTGTTCGGCGGAAAAGCAGCTAAGCAAACTTTTCAGCCTTTGACAATAATTTCTACTAAAAATAAAACAAATGCAAGGGTTCACTGCACAGTTTGAATTAGCCAAAACGTAGCAAGTTAGTTCGAAGCGATCCCAACCGCAAGAACGTACGATCGGTACGTAATTCACAACGATTTTGAAAATGCTCAACGGCAACAGGCATATTGCAAACGCCAACACGATAGCAATGGACATCTTAAGCACATTTCTTTCTCTCTTTCTAAGTTGATCGCCATTGTTGGTCGATCTTTCGCCGGGTATTTTCTGTCGTTTGAGTTTTAAATAAATAACTATATATACTATAGCTATCAAAACCAAAGGAATACAGCGGAAAAGAGTCAGAACTACCGTATCGTAAGTGAAGGACACGAAAACTTCATTTAAGACTTCACGATAAAGGGTCTGACAAAGGAGTATTCCATCAGGATACATTACCAGATGAGAACCAAGAAAGTAAGGGGAGTAGATTCCGAATGAGATGATCCAAGTGGCAACAATTAAGAAACAGCACAACTTGGAAGTGATGAGTGGTGGTCGAAGAGGATATACCACAGCTCCAAATCGATCCACTGCTATAAGAACCAGGCTCTGAACTGACACAGAGGCAGAGACGTGGATCATGAACTCTACTAGCTTGCATAAGACCTCGCCTTGAGGTTCAACCAGGAACGAGGTTTGGAAGTGCATCCCTACCAGGTTCGGTGGGACTACGAAAATCGCAAAGAGCAGATCAGACATAGCCATGTTTACGATTAAAAAGTTGATTGGTTTCCTCATGGCTCTAGACTTGAACACGATGATCGAAATCAAACTATTTCCCACCAGAGAGAAAACGAAAATCGCGCAGTCAAACAGTGTTTCCACGACTTTGTTCACTGTAGGATTGAAGCAGTGCAGGTGCATGTGTGTTCCATTTATCGATGTGTTCAAATTTCCTGACATCTTGTGTTTCAGCAGTATAGAGTTCTTCAGCACACTTAGCAAGTTTCTCTCTTTTGCAGTTGTAGAGAAACCCGAGTTTGGGCTTTTAACTTAGTGTGGAATATTCGTGATGAGCGCACTGCTCCCGAAAATTGTTCATTTACAATTCGATGGAATTGTTAATCAGAGCAGGTGTTCAACTCCAAAAGCTAAAATTTTTTTTAAAATAAATCGTGAAAATATTACATTGTTTACATTTACAAAAAAAATTGCAAAACCTCATGCAAAGATATATTCTTACATTACTCTTTTCAAGAGAAAATATATCTTTTTCGGTCTTGTATTATGCTAGGAAGATACAAGTATCTTCAGAAACTAATGAATTATTCTGAATAATATAAATCTTCTGGCGGTACAACAAATTAGCTGGTGTATTTATCTTGAAGCACAATGGCCAAGTATTGATTTCTTTAGGAGCGGTTGTCAATTTGTTTTCACAAGCTGCTAAATGTCAATAATTCGCCAGCATATGCTAGGATCCAGTTACTCGCGAACCTTCGTCTTGAAATAAAAAAATCCAAGCGAGACGTTGATTTTCTCGTGAAGAAAACCCAATAAAAAGAATCTACATCTATGATTAGAGGTTTAATATTCTTCGAGCTCTAGCAAATCAATACAAAAAAGGATAGCATAGCCTAGACCCAATTATGATTTGTTCGGATTTTGCATCATATCGAAATTTCAGTCGACACGAAGCACATAAGTTTTACGTATTCTAGTGTCATTGCTTGATTGTCTTTATTTTTTTATTTTTAACGCTTTTTTTTTGTTTTTTTTTTTTGTTTTTTTTTTTTGCGTGTTTATTCAACCAAATAAAGAAAATCGACCTGTTATTTGAACAGC